TCCTCTCGGCGATCGTCTCTTCCTTTAAATACTCTTTTGTTTACCTTCGGGAACCTTCTGGAAAATGTCCGGATAGTTTATTTTTTCTTTGAACTGTTTAACTGCTTTCCCAAAACGCACGTACGACACACACCTTTACAAATACAGCGCACATGAAGAAAGGCGCCCGCTGCTAATCGGCGAATCGATAAGCCGTTCACGCACACGTGTGCCGGATCGCACACAAACACACTCGTGCTTGCTACAATAAGGTAGATCATTGCTCAAAGGCATTGTTATTTATTATATTTTGATGAAATTTTCTACCAGAGATAACAAAATTTTCAATATTTATCAGTAATCTAAATATGCAAACTCTCCTTCCTTTTCTGGCCTAGTGCTGTTCTTTTCTACTTTGCGTCGGTCAAACTGAAGGTCACATCGGTACAGAAACTAAACGAAGTATAGCATCGCCTTAAGTAATAGCTCCGAATTTAAAATTGATGGTGTTGACTACCATATGAAAGTTAATTGTAATGTATTTTGTAAAATAAAACACTTTAAAACCTTCAAGTAACTTATTAATTTCTTTACAACTGTCTCACTTCAAAACGACTTTTTCAGTGAAGGTTTTACTGATTTTTATTCTGCAAAATTCAAATTACTGAATTTGAAACAGTTCAATCATTTGAAAATATGATAACTTTTGATAACTTTTATCGCAACATTTAAGAAACTCTCCGTAAATTACGTAAAGAAAATTTGAGGAAGGAGATCCAGTCTAGCATCAATTCTATCAATTTTAGAATGGAAAATTGATAACGATTTTCAGTATCATACCACTCTATAAGAAACTTTTCATTTATTACGAATCTGGCACCATACTTTAATGCTGATTGTAAATAAATTGTACAGTTTATTTAAATCTTAATTATTATTAGAAATTAAAATAACATCCTTTTCTGAATTAAAGCCTACAACTTTTATAATGAATGCGTTACATAACAGAATTGTAAGGTCAAGAATTGATGAATTTTGGGTTACATAATTTATGGAAAACTTCTAATCCGAAAAAGAGTACGTAACGGTTGTTATTTTCATTCATAAGTAATACTTAAGTATCTGCAAAAAGGTCGTATACCAGCGGTTATTTTAAATGGAATGTAATTTCTATTTTTCAATACACAAACATCTACTCAGTTTCATAAAAGACACTTGAAGTTTTTGAGGACACAAAAAATGTTCTCAAAAGCTTCAGCATGAAAGTAATTTTTCATCCGTAAAATGTAATAAAAGGAAAAACCAAGCAACATTCCTTTACTTGAAAGATTTTGCGTAGGTATGTATCAAATTATAAGTGATCCTCCAAAGTTGTGTCCTTTGTCGAGGTAAATTGATGCTTGTAGGTACCTACGCTTTCTTCATTGTTCAATCCATTCATATGTCATCCACTCAAACTTCCTTGGTTGCATTCCATGCAGCTTATATGAAATTGGTTGGATAAACGTAGCACATGAAAAATGGAACATTGGAGGTCAATATGAGATTGAAAAGGGGCGTTAATAAATGTTCTTTTATCATCATATATAATAATGTTCTACCGTAGGTTTGTTTGTATGTATATCAATCTCTCAGTCGGCCGTGAACAAAACAATTGAAAATTGCATTTTTCGATTAAAAATTGTCGAAAAATGATAAAAGATACGTCAAATGTCAACGAAGCTATCAATTTATACGATCCAGGACCGCACTTTTTTGAATATTGTATTCGATTTTATCGAAATCATATTACAAATTAAACTGAAAATCGTTTTTCCCTAAGCTTATTCTACATTCCCTATGTCTAGTAAATTTTGATAAATATATAAGAATAGCTGGCTAAAAATCTAACCTGTTAGTGAACATCTGCCTTTCTCTTATTTAGAGTTTGCAGAGATAGAGAGAGAGAGAGAGACAAGATAGATTCCATTGGCCATTTGGAGAATATATTAGATATATTGACGCTGTTGTAGAAGCGATTAGACAGACTAGAATGATTTGATATTGATACACACAGATCAATAAATTATCCAATAACGTTTCGATCACTGCTCATGATTCTTTTCTACCTACTAAGACAAGAAATAATGAATAAAAATAGTAAAAACATAAATTTCGTAAAATCTCCTTGCCAAGATAAAATTAGTTCGTGTTCCAGGAAATTCCTCGATACCTGTGGGTACCTAGAAACGTGCCAGACTTGTTATTAATACTTTTTGAAGAAAATCCCTTTGAAAAGAGGATTACTGCAACTTTTATATTGGAGAAGTTTCGAAACGTATTACCTATACTGTAAGTTGTGCATTAATACAGAAATATTTGACCGATGACTTAAATATCGAATACCTACCTAACTACGGGGGGGGGGAGACTACGACGATTTATTAAGAAGGGGGTGTTTTGTACAAGTATCATATTTACATTAAACATTAACCTCAACAATCGTTTTCAAGTATGTAAATTGACCAATACATACACACCCTATGTGTAAAATGTGAATCTTAATGTATCCTTTGTGTTCAAGAGGCCTTGTGTTTGATTCATAATGTAATGTTCGTTGGTTTAACAAAAATAACTTCTAAGACTAAGAACGACAAAAACTATTTATTTACTCTAATTATTGAAGAACTTAAAAACACTATTAAATTATAACTAAACTTAGGTTATGAATTATTCTATTTATTTACACTACTGTTGATTATTCACTGTGTTATCACTGTTAATTTATTTCTGGATTCACTTCTGCAACGGTCAATTTATTTCTCCTCCTCTCGGCGATCGTCTCTTCCTTTAAATACTCTTTTGTTTACCTTCGGGAACCTTCTGGAAAATGTCCGGATAGTTTATTTTTTCTTTGAACTGTTTAACTGCTTTCCCAAAACGCACGTACGAACGACACACACCTTTACAAATACAGCGCACATGAAGAAAGGCGCCCGCTGCTAATCGGCGAATCGATAAGCCGTTCACGCACACGTGTGCCGGATCGCACACAAACACACTCGTGCTTGCTACAATAAGGTAGATCATTGCTCAAAGGCATTGTTATTTATTATATTTTGATGAAATTTTCTACCAGAGATAACAAAATTTTCAATATTTATCAGTAATCTAAATATGCAAACAGAAGTATAATATATATATATATAATCCGCAAAATCAATATTCTATCTGCAGATTTCACTTAAATGTTTCATTTTTGATTTTACTTCTCAAAATCATTTTTCAATAAGCCGTTAGACGTTAAGAGTCTTTTAAAGGGGTGAATGTTTAATAAGCATACTTCTGTGACATCATCGCCTTGACAACTGTGAAATAGATACATAAAAAGATATTTTAACTGTACCGTTTTCGTATATCAAAAGAATGCAACGTAATCTAAATGTAAATGTCGGGGATCACTCGCCCCGTCGTCTCTCTTTTTTTATATATAGTATAACGTCGACGCGACAACATAACTTTGTTTCTTTTTCACATTTCTCCACATCAATTTCATTTTCCACGACGCGCAAGAAAAAACCGGAGAACAGGGACGCTGTATCAATTTTTGAACACATTTGAATATCATAACACGCCTGGAAGAGAAACTTTAAAAAATATACACATAACAAAACTAAAAACGAACAACCGCTACATATTGTGTCACACTCCAATAAATATACAATTCCCTTGACATTATACGAATGGTATTATGCAAACTGGCTTATATACGAGGGTGGATTGATAAGTTTCCGGCCTGACCAAGAAAAACAAGGTTTTTAAAAATTTTTTTTTTTTATTTCTCAACATAATCTCCTCCAAGGCTGATACATTTCTCATAGCGGTGTTCCAGTCTATTAATGCCATCTCTATAGACTGATTCGTCAAGCTCCTCAAAATAACCATTTACAGCTT